ATGGTGACCTAAACTATTATTTAGATTTTATTTCATGGAGATATTGTTCGCACTTTATTACTTTGTATCCAATAAAAAGTGCCTTGTATTGTTATTAATAAAAATACCTAACGATATTCTGCACTTTCTTTTTTGTTATTGTTGTTGTTGTTGTCATCTCGGTTCATCAACAGTACAGTACCAAAATAAAGGCAGTGTGAGGCTAAATATCTGTGTTCCATAGACTTAAAGCACCATATTTACAATCTGTATACAATCGTAGTAGGCACATGCGCTGATTCAGCGCCTTTAATTATGTAATTGTCACATATCGATAATTTCCCGTGTGGACGGGCGTCACATAAATGTGGTAATTTATTTCGACGTCACACTGAATCCACGTCTCAACATTTTGCACACCAACCAAGATGGCGACACCGATAGTAAGCAGAACGACTGGATTCAACAGAGAGAATGCTATTATTGTTGTTGCAAGAGCTAACACCAACTAAATTTGTTTTAATAAAACTTTAAAGAATACGATATATTTTTTTTAATCTTAACATGTTTCAGCATTACATTATGCTTATCGAGAACCCAAGTTAATATTTCTTGATATTTCATTTTAGAGGATGTTAAAATACTTATATATCCCTCCTTTGACGCACAGAACACAAAAGACTTGGTTGAGGAAAACTAGTTTCGTCTTTACTAGAGCTTTTCAACTTTTTCGATCTACAACTGTTGTGAATTGAAAAGGTTTAGTAAAGTCGAAACTAGTTTTCCTCAACCAAGTTCTTTGACAGCCTCTAAAATCAAGCTATTCTTGCACTCCTTATATATGTGCCTATGCAAATTCGTTCAGTTATTCGTCCGATCGTATGTATTGATACTTTATGAATGATCTTTAATTCAAAAATTGGCGAAGTAAAGATGGATATTTTGTCCTTTCAAGATTGTAAGCATTGTTTACATGGTCATTATGTTTTGGTCAAAATCGTGAATTTTGAAATTTTCGAGCATGAAATCAGGTTTATTTACATGTTATACCCATTACAAAAGGCCATACATGATAGATCAGCGATCGGACAATTGTTTTGCTATTTATGAAGAATCAAATACATGATAAATATGCTAATGTGGTTACTATCATTAATAATTATATATCTGACTTGTGTGAGAAAATACCACACTTATTTCATTTGATTTGATGTCCTTTGTTTCTTTGCTTCTGATATATCAAATTTGAATTTCTTAAAAAATTGGCTAAGGTTGGTAAATTTGCAATATTGTACCATATGATGCTCTGTTTTGCCTGTCATAAATATGAATAAAACTTATATCCACTTGTTAAATCTTGTTTTAAGCTACAGACAGGGGCTAATTCAGCTGGTGGGCGCAGGGAGTTTGCAATAACCCCCTCGCCCCCTCGAGATTTAGTATGCTTCCTTTTATTTGTGTCTCCTATGTCATGGTTTCTTGGAGAGCTCCCTGGCTGAGTCCCCTGCACCACTCCCTGGAAATAATGTAATCTTCACACAGTGCCGGGGACGTGCCGCCAACCAGGGTATCGTTTTCAGCGATTTTACTCTGGAACTGGGTATCGTTTTTAGCGATTTTACTCTGGAACAGGGTATCGATTTTAACGAAATTTTCTCTGGAACAGGGTCAGGGTTTAATTCCGGAATTATTGATGCTGGGTAAAAATTCACGGGGTAAAATTTCGGTCTACACGCAAGCTAGTGCAGGATTTTCTCTGGAACAGGATAGTTTTCAGCGATTTTACTCTGGAACAGGATCAGGGTTTTGACGTCCTAGCGGCACACCCCCACCCAAGTTTGGAGGGAGTACCCCCCCGGGCTCGGAACTAGTGCAAGCCAGGAAGTTTTGGAAAACTCACTAGAAAATATGACCGACGAAGAAATATATCAAATCTTGACTTTTTCCGGTTTTGAAAATCGATTCCAAGACTTGATTCAGGT